GTCTAGATAAGCGTCTTTAAGTTCTAGCACTGGTCTTATCAGGCTAGGGTCAGTGACAAGTCAGTTGACACTCGCTTGATCGCGCCACCAGTGCATTCGTATTTGTAATGACAATATACTTTGGAAGTTCACCTATGAATCTACAAGGCCTAGGCAGTGAGAGATTATTCGGAGACGTCAAGAATGTTTGCGAGGTCGTCGCAGCTGTCTGATTGTACGACCCTTGAGGTAGCCTGCGGTTGTCCTTTCAAAGCTGTCAAGTGTGGAGAGCTCGATACCCTGGAGAGAGAGAGCTGTCTGACGAAACCGGTACCATACCTGCAGATACGGTATTTCATCATCGACCGACCGCCTGTCGGATAACATCATCTAGCATCACGGTCTGTCTCTTCAGCACACCTCCTACTTCAGGACCGTCGGAACGAAAGGCGAAATCGCTGTCCAATCTGCATTGCCCAATGGGCCAGCAAGTTCATGCTCTTGTCTAGGGCAAATGTGGAATCCAGGGTAAATGGGTTTGTTTATGGACAGGGGCAGGGAGGATACAAGCCCTGCGGAGGGGATCGACCGGCCATGTCCCCGAACGGGCAAGTTGCGTCCAGCTCAGTTTTGACTTGGCCCAGCGGTCGAATGCGACCCCGCAAGTCTTGTCAGATGATGGATAGGCTTGGTCATCCTTGGCTCGTCGACTAGATACTGTATCTTCGTGCCCGTTATCTGTTGCTGTCAGTTGGTCCTGCTAGAGGGAAATCCAGCCGCTGAAATGAGCAGGGCAAACGGGAATGCAGTCAGGCAGTAGGCAGGGTGTGTGTGTGGGTCGATCATCTAGAGTTTCCCTTCCCCGGATACCTACTCATGTAGCACAAGGCAGGAAAGACTCTTATTAATCGCCCTTCTCAGGGCTCCCCCCATTTCCCTCCTCCAAGCAAGGATCAAAAGAGTGCTAGGCTATGAGAAAATCCTCCTCGAAAGGGCAAAGTCGGATTGGGACCAACGTACTCATACTACTCATAATTAGATAAGGTCCTTTCCAGGCTAACGATTCGATAAAGGCCAAGGTCCAAGCGTGAAGAAGCCAATCTGGCGATCCGAGAGCTGTAATTAGTCTTCATTGGCCGCCTGGCAGAATAGAGCCTATTATACTGGGGGATCTAAATCGTGATGTGAGTCTGAGCAGAGAACAGAGTAGACCATCGCAACATCAATAAGCTACAGTTGGATTTTCGCCGGTCATGCTTGATGATGTACGGCTCGACATCTTGACCACCTGCCTGCCAGATGGAAAGATGTACCCCAGAATCAGACGTCCAACTTGCTGTACGTATGATACGGCCATCATCCTGCAAGTTGCATCCAGTGCATATTGGAAACTTCCCACATGCAAGGGGGAGTGTACTGTACATGTACATAGGCGGCAGTTGAGTCCAGAATCCGTCCTCCTGTACCACAGCTCGAGACATTATTCATTTCTACCTGGGGTTTCGGTGAGATACAGTATGTGCATGAAAGTCGTTCATCTCGCAAGAAGCCAGCAACGATGGAGATGCGGCCGCTCTGTACTCGCCGCTAGCTGAAGCCGCGGTGCGGTACAGTACAGTACTATAGGACTTCCCCGGATGGAGATAACGATACGGTAAACCTTCGCACCAAGCCTCCGGTTCCCTCGTGGCTAATTCCACCCAAATGGCTCTCTGGTTAAACAAAGTTTCAATGTACCCCCTCCATATAATGGCCATCACCGTGTATCAGATGCTGATATGCCAGAACGACAGCAAGGAAGGTCATCTCGGTCCGGACGGGGACCGGCAAGATCGCTCTACTTCATCCATACCATACAGAAGAACTCACACAGCCTCGGTCCGGGCGAATCTATTTTCGGCGAGCGAGACCTCTTCACAGTTCACACTTTCACAGGCGCAAGAAAAAGAGGCCCACGCGGAGTGGAGACTTTTCCACTTTCCACTTTCCACTTTCCACCACCCTCTTATGTGGCGCCGCGGCCGGACCCAAGGAAATTTCGAGCCTTCGACCTTTCTGTCTCCCAGAGTCCCAAATTTTGCTAGCAGTTTAGACACTAGCGTGGTTAGAGAACTAGAACTTCCAGCGGAAAAGGCGTCGGCGATCATCTACTACTTCCAGACGGCAGAACCCTGGTCTGCAAACTCGCACTATTTACCGTCGGGCACAACTTCCCCCTTCCCCCTCTCTCTTCCTCTTTTCCCCTCAGTTGAAGTGCTGGGGGGGATTGAAGCAATACGCAGAGAGAGATTTCTCTGATCGTGTTACCTCGAATCTTGACAGGGTTTATCCCGGGTCTTCCCTGTGACGGGATCGACATGCGCTGATGAAGGAGAGACATTCCCCTCCAGGATATGAATATTCACCCATCGGTCAATGAGATCTGGTTTTGATCAAGCTGCCTGTCTGTCAGTGACTCACTGGGAGGAAATGCGAACTACTCTACCTTTCCAAGCGCAAGCAGAAAAAAAAGCTCTTTTCTCGGACAAATTCTTTACAGAATACAGGGACCAATCTAAAATGCTCCAGACCCTTACGGAGGACCTTGCCCCCTCAGCTCTTCGTTCTACGTACTGGATAGGCTGAGTCGGGATCGTTCGTCGTCGGCTTTCTTCCGAGATTCCTTTGAATACAATCAAAGTCGATTGGTAGCAGACGTAACATAAACTTACATTACGGAATCGTGGGGATGCATGATCTGTAGCAAAGATTGCCATCATACAAGCGCTTTGTTCGAGGCTTTGTCGAGGTCAGAGAAGCTGCTTTCGCGTGGGTACTGAGTATATATGGTCTATACGAGTACGAGACCAGGCCAGCATGTGTCGAGACTTGACAGAGCACCAGGAACTAGCTTGCTGACTGGCTAGGACGGAGCACCGCCACACTCAATGAGAGCATGTCAGTTCTGAACTTGGAACCATACAGGCAGGTATTGTAATACGGCAAATCGCGACTGTTTCGCAAAATACCATACTAGTGCTATATACACAATACAGCTCCGGTGGCACAGAGCTAGTTACGTCCGAACAATGTCTACATGTGACAGTGCAGTTTCTTCTATAGCTCGCTTAGTGGCTCTATACAAAGTCATGCTCACTTGTATGTGTCTGGCTTGCATCTGAGTTGGCAATCAATGCCAACGCCTTCTGTCACTGGATAGCCCACCGTCCCAAAAGTCTTCAATGTCTCAGTTCCACTCGATCAACCACACGGCCTGGCCCGCAAAGCCACAAGTTGGCAGACGAGAAGCTCTCACTTCTTGGCAGATCCAGTATCCTCAACGGCATCCTCCCGATCCCAGCTCTCAACCTCCAGCGTCCGAACCCGCGCTTCGATGTCCAGAATGCGCTGCCGCCAATACTCCTTTGCCTGCTCTTGAAGGTCCCAGGTCTTCTTGAGCTGCTCAAAGAGGAAAGGCGGGAGCGCGGTCTTCTTGCCCTGCTTGTAGTCATATGTGACCAGATCCTCGTGGACACGAGCGGCGGGTCTGAAGCGCGCCTCCGAGAGAATGATAGCCTGGAGCTGGAATGCATATGGTGATGCGTCGGGCGCCGCAGGGTCGTGGACGAGTTTGTGATATACCGTCACTTGGTCGGGGTAGGTCATCGGCTGCGCACGCACGCCACTCGGCACTCAGTTATGTGAAATCGTTTTCAACGTGGGGGAGCGGGTTTTGGTCATACGAATTTGTAATCGATCTTGATGCTTCGCATGATCAATCCGATCCCTCGGGAGCTGACGACGTTCATCCATTCCTTTTTATGGGCCGGGTCGATGTGCATCGCGAAGTTGCGGGTGAAATATACGCGCGCGGTTTCTGCGTACCGGGCGTAGGTGACGTTGTTGACATGCCCTAGAGTTCCTCGTTAGAGTGTTTGGTGAACTTAGGTTGAGATCAAAGTCGGATCTCAGGTAAGAGAGATATATGTACCCTGCCGTGGTGGTTAAGAAGCTATACATGGAAGCAATTCAGTGAGAGGGGTCGGCTTACCATGCTGTCCTGTTGCGCCGCAGCGACATCTCGCTGTTAGCACGGCTTCTAAACGCTTCATCGGAATGCAAAAGGTGGCCATCGTACCATCTCGCCCCATGCGACAGCCTGCTTGAACAAGCCTCTTCTGGATGCATCGGTCAGATAGCCCTCGCTACCCGCGACGAGCTCCCGCCAATCCCGCGCGATCTGTCGCAGTAATTCGCCGGATTCTTGAATCTGTGACGGCCTGAGACCGAACATCATGCAGCGACCGAGTCTACGCTTGGTCATGGTCAGCCATCGGGGATCAATGCCGTGTGGCTTCGGTGTGGTGGGCCCTGTGGCCGAAGGGGATTTCGCGGTCGACGAGGGGGCATTCTGCGGCGGAGGAGAGGTCGAGAGAGTTCGGATAGGCGTTGCGAAAGATCGAGATTGTAAGAAGAGGCATTGCCTTCTCAGACTCTGTAGCTGTGCCATGGTGGTGGTCAGGAGTGTAGTCAGTGACTATAGCATCGATAGGAACCGTAGATGGAGCTGTTGCTGGGATGGTCTCGAAGCACCTCTCCAGCTGGTCGGTTAGTTCTCCGCCGGGGAGCTGTTCGGCTAACCCCACTCACTCACTCACTCCTCTTCCGTCTCCCCGCGGCCTTGATGGGCCGAGGCCAGTCGAGGCCACAACAACAAAGGCTTACTTTGAGAGTCAATTCAATCGAATCGGTATCTGGGCCTCTAGGGTCACCTGGCTGAAGTCTATAGTATACATTCATTATCATTTATGGTGGAATCTGGGTCCGTCCAGCATACAGCATTTTATACAGCGTCATATTCAGATCGCAGAGCCGGGTTGTTTGGGATGACATGAGCTATATTATGTATACGCTACCACCTTAAGAGTACTAGTAATACATGACCACCAAGTATTTATGATGCCTGATGAGCTTACGCAAGGCCTTCACAAGATATAAAGATCATAGATTGCATCTTCCCGCAGGATTGATTGTAGGCTCGAGAAATACAAACCGACCGGGTGACGACGTCACCGGTAATGTTCCGGCGGAAGCAAACAAATGCATTCCCACCAAGCGGCAACAACCCATTGTCACCTTCCTATCTTCCTCATCTCCTCGTCGTTATCTCCCTGTCCAAAGACTTTTCAACTGTTCAACAATCCCCACGCTGAATGGATCAATCATGACTAGCTCCGAACTCCGCTATCAAGTTATCAATATCTACAAAGGTTGGTGATATCTCCTCGCTGACATGAGTCTCGGCTGCTGTGCTTTGCAATTCCCAGCACCGTCACTAAACCTACGGCTGTTGACTGCTCGATCGACAGAGCTCCTTTTCCTCGGCCGCAATTATCCTCTGGGCTACGACTACTTCCGGAACAGGCTACACAAGGCATTTAGCAGTCAGGCACATCTGGATAATGAAGAGCAGATTCGGAAAGGTATAGCACGAGCGGAGTTCGTCAAGAAGGGTGCGTTATCCCGCCTCAATTGTTTGCAATTGCAGCAGCTTCATTGAACCAATCAATAACCTTCTATCTTTCAACCATCTAGAAATCGAGGCTCTGTAAGTACTACTGCCCATGCCTTTAATGCTCCCGTCTGCTTCGATATCCCGCCGACGAGCACTGATCCATGCTACCTGTCCACTTATCCCTCCCCCAAATCCGATGCGGTTGATCATATTCTCTTGATAATTCCTATGGATGTACAGTCTCAATATATCGTTATGTCATAAGCTTATAAACACATGGGTGCAATGTGAGCAGCGATACTGATGAAAGCACGCAGCTACTACCTCAAGCGGTATCGCACGTTGAAACAGCGCTATGAGAACAAATAGCACCCAACCATCGCAGCCAACACACGTCGCAGCAAAAATTATACAGAAATGAATATCATGGCAATTTGAACCAAAAAGACAAAGAGAGAAACGTGGGGGTATCACCAATATGAGAAGAGAAATGGTCACGGTTCCTTTTTTTCTTTTTCCTTTCCTCTCATTCGCCTGAACACCAAACGTTGAGTTCACGATCCTGGCCGCCGGCGAAGGCGCCTATATCTTTCGACCCCACCAAGCACTTACTTCCAAGCACTCTCCGTTCGCAAGGCCATCCTTCTGGAACAAATCGGTCATCATTGCTGCCCACCAGCGATCCCATTCGTCCTTACTCTTCCCGCTGGCCTCCATAAGGATGTGCTCCATGCCTTCTATCATTTGGATGACCGTCAGAAGCGCATTGCGTCGGATAGACAACTGATCGGCCGTCAACTGTCTTCGAGTACCACCACTCGTTTCTTTTCCATACCCCTCCCGTTCCCAGCGTAGTTCGCCCAACGGAATGGCAATGCGACGGCTGTCAACCTTCTCGAGGACGTCTACCTCCGCATTGAAGGATAGGCCCATCGTGGCGCACGGTAGAGCCGTCAATTTCCGCTGATCGAACGCCTTCTCGAGCCAGGTGTTGTAGTCTTGGAGAAACTTGTTCTGGGCGCGCGTGAATGGCGTGGCAGACGAAAAGGTGTACGTCGCGGTCGCATCGGCGGTCTCTTGTTCTCTCGAGGCCAGTTTGCGAGCGGGTGCGGGATTGGGAAGCAGAGAACGGAATACCCAGTCGGAATCCCAGACTTCCAAGATCCCCCCGGACTTGAGAACGCGCAACGGCTCGCTCAATCCCGAGGCTTGCTGGGCCGGACTGGAAGGACACATACCCGCATCCTTGATGAAGACGAAATCGAAATAGTCGTCGGGAAACGGCAGGCGGGGCTTGCGTAGGTCGTGACGCTTGAATTGCCAATTCACACCCTTTTTGCGCAAATCGGGTGCGACGGAGACGATGTCAATGCCGTTGAAGGACACGGTGCGGTGGCCGCGACGGGCGAAATAATCATGGCACATGCTGGACCACAGTCCTGAGCCACAGGCGAGGTCCAAGACTCGCTTCGGGGCGCGGTCGGCCAAATGTGGGTTGCAGAACGGGCCCCCGAAAACGCGCATGAGCATGAGCGAGCGCAAGGTCTGGCGGTGTATCTCCGGAAGGTCGCAGGGAAGAGGATACTGGTTGTCGGGGTCTCTGAGATACGTGCGATCGCCATGGCGTATCAAGGGAAAGTTGGAGTAGTCATTGAGGGAGGAGAGGGAGGAGGTCGACGTCGCTGCCAGGGTTATACCGGTCGAACTGGCGGTGGAATGAAGGTCGGAGCCCGAAGCTGCGGCAGGCGCAAGGACTGCTGGTCCATTTGACATGATATCCATTTCGGCGGGTTAAGGTGGAGTGGTGGATGCTCGTCAATTGAGGGGACCTGCTAAGAACGAACGATGTGCATTCTTCCGCATACAAACAGTGGCAGCGCAGATCGGTCACGTACGGGGCAGGAGTTCGATTAAGAGGGACATGATACGTTGATGGCAACAGAAAAAGAGTATGAAAAGGGCCGAAACAAGCGAGGCTGACAGTATTAAATGTGGTGGTGATAGTGGTTGTGGTGGTAGTAGTGGTGGTGAGGGAGGAGGCAGTGAGTAGTGATGATGGATGTTACGCAGCTCGGACACCGTCCCAGGTCAATCTGACCCATGGAAGGAGAAGGAGTTCGATTAAAGGAGGGGAGAACAAGAGAAAGAAACGAAAACAGTCAGGCCTAAAGGAGGGGGGGCAAAAAATCAAATCAAATCCAATCAAATAAGAAAAAAAAAATTAGAAAACCACATTGTGACCAGAAAATCGAACCGCCCCGGCTCGATGACCCCTTAGGGCCACTCCACTTGTTGCGACGCAATTTTAGTAGTTTACTTTAGTGACTTCGTAGTTGACTATGAGTATCGTCGACTCCAGGCTTGGGTGCAGTGAGTGGCCCCGGAAGGCCAACGTTTCTGGAATGGACCCGGCCTGGCCTTAATTGTTTTTTTCTCCTTTGACCCTCTTGACTTGCCTGTTAGCGTGGACTAAAAATGAGCAGGTATCTATTTCCCCCTCACCGTTGAAACGGCTTTTGAAGATATTGTAATCGTCGTCCAAAGTATAGCACCGAATACTCCCCGAAATGCCACCTCGGAGACCTAGCCTAGGGAAAGCAAGCGATGGTTACTAGTAGTTAGTGGTGGTGGCGGCAAATCTTTGCCCTACCGCCAGCCCACGAATGAAGCCGAATCAAATCATATTTCCGACTCCAGGATGATACGAGAACAAAGTACGGAGTACTGTACATTTAAACAAGCAGATCTTATACATGTCCACAAGGGACAATCTATCCAGAACTGCCAATATTGTACTGTACTTGCAGCGCGGCATCCGAGCTCCCGGAACCTTTTCCCCGCGATAGATAGATCAGGACATACCCCGATACACTGCATAGACTGAATGCAATGCAAGAACGCGAGAGAGTGGGCATCTGATCCGTCTGATCGGAACTCAACCGTGAGAATCTCAAAAGACAAGAGGTACTATGCAGGAAGGTCCAAGTTACCTATCCGTATACTACAGCCTACAACAATTGAACCCCTTTGCTTTTTTCGTGTTCGGCCTTGTTCTCCAAGATAAAGCCCCCTCCATTTCCTTACCCGGACAAAGCTGTCTCGGGATTCGAGCTAGTCTACTACGTTACGGTGGGTAACTACTAGGTAGTCTAGTCTAGTACTAACTGGAAGTTTAGTTGAGGATGTCCAATTCCGGGCACGGGGTCCTTAATACGTTTACTTCAAACTACCTACGCCGGTGTACAGCGTGGGCGCCGCTTCTTTTCTCTTTGGAACCCATGAAATTGGGGACCGGTACTTCCGGGGATTAATGTTGAAGAAATCCAAGGTTCGAAGCGAACACGATGACCACACCCACACAGGTGCACCACTGCACACTCTTCCTCTCCGTCTCCTGCGGTTGTGACTTGCGAGAAGTCCAGAAAGTCTAAATTGGGTTTTCGAAGTGTCTCACGGAGTTGTTCCTCCGTGACGAACTCCCCTACCCTGCGACGTAGAGTACTGTACTTAGTCTAGTAGTAGGATGGGTCTAGTTGGTTTGGGATTTTCATTTGCTTTTTTTTTTTTTCTTTTTTTTTTCCGCCGAGGTGCCGGCCCCCATTCACCTTTTCTTTTTCTATCTTATTCCTGTCCCGGGATCATAGATCATAATTTCACTATTGCATTGCCATGTAATTCACTACTATTGTTACTTCAGAGAAAGTGGCTGCTTGGACATGGGTATCTAGCTTGTGGCTGAGTGTCTATACTCCGACCGTAGGAGGAGGACGAGGCAGTGTCTTTCGCCCCCTCCGCGTATAGTATCTGCACGTCGAGGGAAGAAAGAGAAAGAAGTATCGGGGCAGCTGTCAAGTCTACTGAGGAAGATGATAATATAATCGATCATAAGAATAGTGCATGTCACTACAAGTCTGACATCATGACACCCGACTTACCCGTTGTTCCCCCTTCCTTGGGTTCTTGTGTGTGGATCTTCTTGTATGAAATCCCGAAATGAAGAATCCCTCTCCCACCGGGACGGGGAGACGATGGGCGCTGCGGCACGGCGGACGGCGGCGGGAGATGCGTTAACCCATCACCATGGTTCTGCTTTCCGATTGTTGGCGATGTCAATCGGTATGGGCTTCATTCCGAGCTTCATTTTCCCAAGAGTCTGTGAGGGGAGAAATTTCATAGTCGAAGTAACACGTTCATCAATGAAGAAAGGACTTCCAAAAGGCAAGCAAAGGCCAGTCTAGATCATGGCCGAGGCAAATGATTTTCCATCCTGAGTTCACTGACTCAATTGGCACGATGGATTTTCATTACTCACTGAAACCTCTGGGTCTAACGCCCCGCCAGGCTGGGTGGTTCTAGAGACCGAAGTCACCTAGGCTATGTGCATTGCCGGCCCCCCCGAGGACAAGGAATGGGGGCCACTGGCACGTGCCGGCACGGGTCACTTGTTGCCCTGACGGGGAAGGACGGGGAGGTACCACTGCCTGGGTACCGACTTCAGGGTCAGTCACTAAACTACTAGTTAAGAGTACTTGTTCCAAAACACAGACTGGCCCTGGATTGTGCCCTGCTGCCTTGTCTGTTTGTCTTCTTCTTCGCCCCCCCTTGCATTCTAAAAGTGGTGGGGGTGGGCTGACATTGCTTAGATTATCTCTGCATGTCTATGTTTGTGCATCTGTGTACAGTACTGCTGCTATGGCTGTGCTTTCGTGGACTATAGGTGGCTGCTTATTTGACGGCGGGGTTGGGGCAGAATTGAGTAATGGGAGTTTTGTACCTATCACCCAGTGGTGTTTGAATGGCTTGCCCCAGCTTATAGTTGAGTGCTTTTTGTGTCTTGCATGAGGCTGCTAATGACTATCCCGTATAATCCTGGTCGTGTAGCTTGACTTCTTGCATGTAAAGGTAAGCCGAACGGGGGCATGGCCCATAATTAGTCTAGGATCATACTCAGTATACTCACAGTGGCCGATTGTCAGGTCCATCGTAGATGGATACAAATGAGGCTCTAGAAACAGCTTGAACGCATTTAGGGTCTTCTGTAGAGAAGCTCTCCTCGGTCTTGGATCTTGACTTCAGCGGTCTCGCTCACCCTTTTAAATCTCGGTGCAGACGAAACATGAAGTTGTGCTATCCGGTTGGCAGACTTGACTTATCAAAACTGAATTGTCGGAATTAGATCATTGGAATTCAATTATCAGACTTAATCTTCCAGAATCGAATTATCAGACAATGTCATGAGTTTAGTATACTTTATAGGGCGTATATAGCTATAAGGACATAAGAGGTAGTAAACTGTTTAGTGTTGACATAAACACTGGGTTAATACAGTTTCAAGCTAGAGACTGGCTTCAATCGGAGTCAAGACAGTCCGGATCGACAGTTGTAACAGGGGCCGAGTTGGCAGAAATGTAAACAGCTCAGCTTCAGCTGTGTACAGTCTCCTCTAAGCAAGATCGAGATCGAAGTGTCACCTAATTCTGACAGCTCAAGTAAGCTCACTGTGAATATTGACTCGAGCACGCTAGCTGACCCTGGCTGACTCCGCCGGTAGAAACCATCAGTTAGTGGCCAATTGAAGTGAGTAGAGAAACAATTTGACATGACACTGATCATCTGATATGCTCTACCCTCACCTCACCCTCCATTGTGCCATTTTGTGTTCTTCCGCTGCGACTTTGCCACCCTTCCGACAAGTGGGTAGGCCCAATAAAGGGGCAAGATTGATGGGTTGGAGCGTTGTCTAGCAGAGAAAATAGAAGGTGTCGAGATGGTTAACTTCAAGCCCCTGGGGCAGCAACCCTGGCAGGTTCAACCTGATGATCGACTGTTGGTCTGAATAGAATGTCCTAGAAAATATGAGAATGAACCCACACCCCCTGAGCGCTGTTCGGCAACAATTGCTGGTGATCTTTGGGTAGATGTGCGCTTTGTCCCATTGCTCAGGTGTGGGTAAACTCTACTGACTATTATACAAGATGGTCGGACAATTTCAGTACTTTGTTTCGTGTCCAGTATACACTAGACTACCTCTCTAGACATATGTATACATCTTAAGAAGGTTGCTACAAGGTGCGGCGGGAAATGGCCAGATCGTTACCCCACTTCAGGTGCGCCTCTTAGCATTGCTTAAACTGTCATTCTGTAAATTCCAGTTGACCAGGGGGCAAAGGGGGGGGGGGGGGGGGTGAGATCGTAGTCAGCACCTTTGTTCACCCTGCGGGGAAGCAAGCGAGATTGGCATAGAGGTCCTAGCATTCCCTTTATATTAAATCGAGATAAGATAGTGTGAAGGCAGGTTGATGAGCTGTTCAAATCACCAACAAAGTCTCCAATAATGTTGTGAACTGACTGTGAGTGGAGGGACGGCACGGATAAACCCGCAGTCTGAATAAAACCCGATTGTCGATGGACAATGGAGAAAGTCATGTAAATAGGAGATCTGGCAAGAAGGATGACAGGAACCCCCTACATCTCTTAGCATTAATACTAGTACTTGTAGGTAACTATGTGACTAGGCCCTTACCGTTGTCAATAGTAGCCCCTCCCTTCCCCGTAGATCCCTGGGCTCGAAGAGTGGTGAGTAATAGTTCAAAGCTACCTGAATATCGGTTGGGAGAGTGAATTGAGGCTACTGAAGCTACCTTGGGTTACCTTACTACAGTTCTTTAACCCTGGATTGCGGGAAACAAGGGATTTTGTTGTAACAGAAAGAGAAGACAGAGGAGATGATAAATTGAAGAGACGAAAGCCATCGGCTATCAATATCAATCAATTTACTCATCAGCTGAAAAGAAAGGGTGGTCTTGGCTTTGCCATTGGCGGCGAACTGCGCCCGCTTGGATGTGACACCACGTGACCCCGACAACCTCCCGCCTTCGAATGCAAACCAACTTCGGAGCCTCCCAAGGCGACTCTGTCTCCCATCTATCTCTTCGAGTCGCTGGCGTCTCTGCTACATCATCGCTTCCTCGATTGCTCGCGCGCATTCCTCACCTTGATAGTTATACCTGCTGTCTGACAGCGCTGTTCAACTTCACATTCAGGATTCTGGCCAGTTAATCGTCTTCCGGTCCTCTGACTCGCTCGCTCCGACCACCCACCCGCCTGCCCACACCCCCTCCGTCGCTTGCACCTCGATCGCCCCTCCGTCTCCCATCCGATCAACTGGAACTCCGGCTCAAACTGCACCAGACCTCTCAACAAGTGGTGAGCGTC